GGTTCAGTTCATTCTTGGATTACTGTTAGAGGGGAAAAAAAAATCCCTTTATTATTCATCCCCAGAAGTTTTACAAAAAAATATAGTTACTCAAGTTGAGAAGGAAATAAATGGTGTCCCTGTGACACAGATCTTGTGCCTCACCATGTTCCTATGCAGAAATACGAGGTACAAGGTACAAAGCTACGATAATTGTTATCGAGTTCCTTCAAAACCAGGAGCCTGTAGTACATCAAAAGGTCTGAAAAGTAGGGATTAAAACATAGATCAAAAGACTAGACATAAACAACTTAAAGGATGCGGTTACTGCATAGCAAGAAACGGTTCTGCAAGTACCTCAGAGGGAATTTCAATGCAAGTGAGTAAGGCAGCACGTACGTGTTGGAGAGCACCTTGGCAATAAGTAGGAAATACTCAGTAGCCCAGGCCAGCAAGTAGAAGTGAATGTACACAGCAAAACCACAAGCTGAGTCATTCCAACAATTGCAGCATTCTATCAAACTTGAAACATTCCCTCTGGAGCAGAAAGTTTCACATCTTCCTCTGTGACAAAATGTCCACTATAATGGACCCCCAGTGAGAGGCTTTGGTCTGTGACAGATTCAAAAGAACTATATGTACTTAGTCATGCAAAGCCTCTTTAAATATTGTGACAGGTTTTTGACAACTCCTGAGAGCTGGAGACTAAAGGGAGATAGAACCAGTGAGATTAACCATTTCTACAGTCTGATTATTTCTACAGCAGTAACATACACTGCACAGTACTGCACCTTTTTTGTTATATGGCATCTCAATAAGGAGTTTGCAAAATTTTACCAGTGGCCTGTGCCATTCTGGCTAGCTTTGAGTTTATGCACTGTAAGCCGCTCCTGCTGTCCAGATCCTGTTGTGAACAGGCCTTGTGTCCAAAGACCATGGTGTAAACTGTCCTTGGACAACGATACCGAGTTTCTAGTGTCCCTGCCCACTAATTAAAGAAAACCATTCCAAGATCCAATAATGGTCATACTTACTTTGATATCAATGCTGTTAAAAGCTACTGGCCAACAGTATCGCTGCCTGTTCTGTGTTTTTCAGCACAACCCCTGTGCCTCACCTGTCTGTTTAATGATGCTGGCTGCTTTATTGAAGACATTCCACAGACAGTTCTTCAAAGCCTGAAAAGATACCTGTAGACTGGGATTGTCCCAGGAAGAAGAATTTTAGCGCTGTATGACAGCCTTGCATAGTATTGGAAAAAGGGACACATTTCTGGGAGGGCATGTGCTTAAGGAACAAGTTTAAGCAGTAAAGCTAAGCTAGATGTGCTGGGCCAAATCCCTTCTGAACAGGAAACCTAACACAGTCCTGAAGATGCCCACCCATGTTCAGAAACAGCAGTTTGGGTATTTGCTAGGTTTTTCAATGAGTCAAGTATGTTTAAGAGGAACAGTGGGAGGACTGCAACTGCTCCAATCTCTGAGAAATACAAATAGGCATAGGGGATGTTGTACCGGTGCACTTCATGCTAGTTCAGTTCTGTAGGCACAGAACACACCTGCAGCACAGTCCCGATTACATGTGCTTGAAGAAGTGCACCCAAAGGAACTGACAGATTTAAAAATGCATACGACACCAGGTTTTGTATACTTTTTCTCTAACACTTAATAAAACATTGTTGGCCTTAAGGTTGGTATAGAAGCATTGCCAAAATAAACGTGGTTTTAAAAAAAAAAATTCACCTCTTTTTTTTCCTTTAAACTCTCAGTATTAGATATCAGTCACATTTACCAAGCATGTCTGTTCCATCTCTACTCTGCACTATTCTTAGGCTGTGATCGTTACTGCAATATCTTACTGTCTCTTAGAAGCTGGAATAGACACGATAAATCTCAGAAATTCCTCATCTGGCATTTCAAGCAAGGCAGCTGCCTGAAAGCTTCACTAGCCACTAAACCCAAGAGCTGTAAGAAAGTGCTTTCCTCAGCCAAGTCTTTATAAAGCTTTTCTTACACTTCCTGCACTCATCCCTTACGACAGCACACTTTTATCTGCCCATTGTTACTTGCCAGATTCAGTCTTTGCCAGACGCAGTCTTTGAAGGGCTACAGCTTTCATCTGTGCCTTTTTTTGCTCTTTAGTTGGTTATTAATACTTACTTACAGTTAGCCTTTATATGGTTATTTCAAGGACACTCTACAGAGTAATCTAAGTCTACTAGTTACTAAACAGTTACGGCCACCTTATCGGGACACTGAAAACAGCCCCAGCCAGAGCGAGGTGCATTCTGCACCGATTCATTCCAAGTAGAATTTGGCAAGAGATGGCAGCAAGTCTCATTTTGGTTGTGTTTCTTTTAACTCCCTGGACTTTCAATTACTCCATCCCTTTTTCTTATTCAACACAACCGCTGAAATACTTCCCATCTTCCACTTTTACTCTTGTCCAAGCACATTCACCTTCTCCCCACTAAATATGTGAGCCAAATACCATGTCTTGTGTGAGGGGTATCTGACTGACAGCCGACAGCTCTCTGTTTGCTCATTCATTATCTATTCAATACTCTTAACACACTCACAGGACAAAAAAAAAAAAAAAAATCAAAGGTATCCTTGGTCTTCCCCTATACTTACAAGATATTTCTGTAAGTTTAAGACCTTTTAAGAGGCACGGCAAAAACTGATTTATAAGCTTATACATATTTAAACCTGTAACGTACTCTCTTATATATTCTGTATTAAAAAAAAAGAAAAAGGCTTTGTTATCTTAATACTGCAGCATCTTCCAGTGGCTTGTAATAGCTTTCTAATATATTTATCAGCCAATTCCTACTTGTTATCATCACTGAGTATCGGGGATTATGCACTGAACACACTTGATTCCACTTTCTAGCACAGGCCTTCTCTATGATGAGCATCAAACCTACTCCTTGATGGAGTGTTTCTGTTCACGTCTTGTGTGTCGTTGTGAAATCTTTACAGTGTAGTAGCTGGTCATGCTTAAGTACAGGCTACAGGAAAATCAGTCGACATTACTCTGAAGTTGTTATTTTGTCTCCATAAATATAACGTGTATGGTAGATCACATTACCCAACATAGGAAAAAGACTGCATGCCCTTTGATAAACTGAATTATCAAAACAAAAATACTAACAGGTCACTGGCGAGAAACTAGCTGGATTGTACAGCAACTCTTATAGGGACTAATAGTTGTATATTCACCTATTTCTTAACAGTGCATGTTCTCTGTTTTCTTAGGCAGAATTGTGAAAAAAAAACCAAAATGCATATCTTTCATCACCAGAAGCACTTAGTATTACGCCTTAATCTAGATTTTTAGAGCCACAGAAGAAACACTGTCCCGCACTATGAAATAATGCATTTAGTATTATTCTGATAAACGTAGAAAGCAGCACATTGAGAATTACCACGAGCAAAATAAAATTGGCAGTTTCCTTTCAGTGGGAGAGAACATGAAGCTGAGAAGGGAAATGAAGTTAATACTGATGGATGCTCCATCAATGGAGAAATGTTCTTTATGTGTGAGAAACTTACCAGTACTGTTCGCCCTTGGGAAATAAAGAAATGGCCAGATACAACAATGGTAAGGATGAGATGGCCTGATTCTTCATTAGATTCAAAAACCTTTAAAAACATATAAACAAAATAGAAGTTTAGCCCTGTAAGCACAGAATCTACATTTTCCATTTCTAGTGCAAAATAAGAGGTTTCAAAGGGTGGTGCTAAAAGTCAGGTCTATAGTAATGTAACTTGCTGTCCACTCCCACAAACAGAAAGCACACTTAAGAATTATTCATTATAACTCCATATAAGGATTTAGCTACTTTAAACAACCACCTGGACTCTTCCAACTTCAGGTAACTCGTGAAGGAAGGAATAAAAAAAAGTGGGCTGCTAACTATCATAGTATTGATGTGTTTCCACTAATAATGCATGAAGCAAAATCTCTGCCGATTCCTGCATTAGCTCTGGACTTGCAAAAAGATACCTGCAAAGGCCTCACTTAGCGCTTGCAACACAGCGGGCACTTAGATCCCACTGGAGCCAGTTTGAGCAAAACCAAGCAGCCAGCCCGCCCTGTGCCGCCCGTCACCTTCCAAGAGGAGGTGTTTTGCCCTTCAACATCGCTGTCCGTCGGGGGTAGGAAGCGGCCGTAGCGCTTCAAGGGCCACGTTGTGGCGCTGGTGAGAAGGGAGGTGTCGCCGGTTTTTTTTTCACCGCCTGGGAGGTGCCACCCCCGCTCGCCACCGCCATCCCTGCCCTGAGGGGACGGCGCTGCGCAACAGGGAGCGGCAAGTACCGCCCCAGCAGCTGGCAACCAGAGGTTGAGCGGGAAGCAGAAGCCAATAGGAAGGAAGACAGAGCGCGTGGGTAGAATTGTTCGCCAATCAGCGGGCGGCAGAGAAACGAGAGCCAATGAGGTAGCGCACTCGGGATCGCGCTGGTCTTTTTCTAGCGATCGCTCGCACGCGCGGCGACGCTGTCGCTCCCCTGTCCTCGGCGGTGCTCGGGGCTGCCTTGATGGCGTCTCGTCTTGCCCTGTCCCGTCTGCTTTCGAGGGTAGCACTTCTCCCAGGGGAGCGCGGCTACTGCCTCCCCCTTCTCCCCACAGCCTCCCGGTGTACCGCTGTGGCGGGG